GGTATATGTAACATCGGGAACCATGCTTCCAATCCTCGTTATGCCAGAAAAATGTTTTCCAGATCATATCTTCAAAAGAAAATAAGCACTAAGCATTGGACTTGTAACTGTTCGAGCGCAAAATGTATAATTTGGCTGTAGGCCTATGGCGTGTTTTCTAAAAGCCAGCGCACCGGGTGCTGGAGGTAAGCCCAGTCCAGTTTACGCTGTTCACTTGTAAATGTGAAACTGAGCATTACCGGTGTTCGGTTAGGCATTCTTCCATGACACTGGCATGACATGGAGACACTGTTGATTTGCAGTCTCTTCATACTGTGATGCTAGTTCAACATCTTAAAGAACAACCCAACCATACCATGACGACATATACCAATAACGGGCTGCAGACAGTGTATCCATGTGGGGAATCGAACCAGTGTTTAAGTCAGCACAAGCAAACGTGTAAACCACTGGGCGACACACCGTCTCTGTTTTTATCAACAGGCTGGATGCTTCTATAGTGATGCAATTTACACGGAGAAACAATCTCGAACAAATTTGAATATTCTCATTAACACATTTAATCTGTCATACAGACCCTGAAGCAAATATATCCAAGAAAGCCCACGCAAGTCTAGAAATGTGTCATTATATTGTAATGTTTTTACTATGAGCTTTTTCCCCCTGTAAAACATGTTCATTTCAGAGACTAGTTGTTAGTCTATAACACATTATGTTTTTGTGTTTAGGGTAATTTCGTTTCAGCACCATATGCCATGTTTTTGGTCACTCTTTTCGGATTCGGGTCCGCAGGGAGAAATGACAAAAATTTTAATGAGGTCACGGGGTACACAAGACCCAAATTTTACTTAAATTTGTAACCTACTGAAGAGCGTTTTGTTCTCTTATCTCTCTATCTGCCTTACTTCCAAGTTAACACCAGTGATGAACGAGGCATATGAAATGGCGGTTTTACGTGCTTATTTCACATAACATTGTGCCATACCATACACTTATTGAAATTAATAACAAGAGAGTTTTCAAACACAACAACACAAACTTGGCAATGTGCCACGTGAAGTGTAAACGTACAAACTAAAGTCCCCCTTTCCTTCCGTCAAATCGAGGTCGTGTTCAACTCATTAGACATCTCCTGGTTAGTTAACACCAGTAGAGGATGTCGAGACAATTCATTCCATAAGGAAGTGAGTGAGTAAATATTGCTTAACGCCACATCATCAATTTTGCAGCTATTGGCGGCGAGAATGTATAAGGGGCCAACCAGTTCATTTGAGTACCCTTGCTTGATTAAGAGGAACATGAGTCAGATTAACATTTGTCGTCATTTGTGTAATTATTGTATGAAGTACGACACAAGGAAACAGATTGAGTCAAATAGAACATGAAACCAAGACATATAACTACCCTGAAGCAAGGAAGTATCGGGTTACCGATTCACCGAACATCTAGAAACGACGCAACACAAGCAAGATAGCCAATGGTTAGTGAGTGAGTGAGTGAGTGAGTGAGTGGAACCCACAAATGCGTTCATGGTGCAGACAAACCCAGACACAAAGTCGGTGCAAACCGGGATTCGAACCCATAACTATAAGTTCCTGCCGTGTCTAAGGGACGCAATCCTGCACTGTGACACTGATTGGCAGTGCTAATTTCGTAGAAAACATTTCACCAATTAATTTCGCTGCAGTGTTTTATAGGTTAACGTGTTTGATGTAAATTAAATCGATACTTGTCAAAACATGAAACACCTCGTCCAGGATAGTAGGTTTCAAATTTTATCGACTAGTGTTGATATCTAGGATGTCAAATGACACTCGAGTGAGGTTATCTATACACTCTACATGTACTTGTATACTCCGTACAGTAACTTCTGCATAACTTGCCCAAGGGACACACAAGTGCTAGATAATATATGACACGATGTACAGAAGCGTAACAACGTGTCACTCACAGCACAGACAAGGAAGTATATAGTGTATCATACACCCGATCCCAACAAACTCGAGCCCACTGAACATCCTGGGTGATACTATACATATTGTGAATACCCTTGATTTATTTGAAGTGCTCAAAAGCATTCATGACTAGACACTGGCATATCAACTCACTTTTTGTGCTGAATTTATAGTCAATGTTTGCTTTGCCTGTTTGTGTGCGACGGGTTGAAACGTATTGGTGTTTCTGTGTGTTGTCCGTCTTTAATGTTGGAGGTTACTTCCGTTTTTCAGAAATGAATCATTTTCGCATGAAAATACGCACCTCTCTGTACAACTGACCCGCGTCCGTACTGTGAATACTTATAGTGTGTTGTTGTCATCGCATCTGGTTCAACATTTGCTATATAGAATTTAATGATCCTGTCAACAATGTGGCTGCCTGTTTGTTTGTCATTGTTTGTATCTGATGTATACAAACATTCGACCTGGCCGATACGTTTTTACTGGAACTTGAAAAATTTGAAATTTTCTTTTTCTGTGACAAATACCAACGTATGGATGTGTTGATCCATCGCTGCATCCATCATCTCCATGTTCTCGCGTCTCTACACCTCACTCGAAGCAAACACGTTGACATCGTCTTAAAAATTTGACATCATCGCGAAAATTTGCCTCAGACCTACCCCTTGGTCAATGAGTGTCACAGGGACCCATCTCTACACGCTTCCCCTATCTGAAGGATCGATGTTTGTCTTCAAGCGAACGAGTGAGCTTAGGTATCCGTGCGTTGTGACGAAATTCCTACAACGTCAAGGCATGGAACACCACCCATGGGCTTCGATGTTGAGAAACGGAACTAGAACGTGCCAACGGTTTAACCACTGGGCCACATCACCGCCTTTCATACACAGATTTATTAAAATCTAAATATGATCGCAGTGACTGATCATCGTTAGATATACAATCATCACCCTGTCGAACCTACGGCTGTCACGAGTAAAAGGGTGGTTGTGCCGAATCTTAGATAACTCGAAGTATTTACGTCGGCCCTTCATCATGCTTGTGTTGTTCGAGTCAACCAAAACAGGGAAATCCGGTGAAAAATAGGTTACGTATATGTGGCTAGCTATATAGATCACCAACTGAGACTTCCTATCCGTGAAGGTCCGGGTTAGAATATTGATATTCAGTAACCCATGCTTGTCGTAAGAGGCGTGCTAACGTGTCCCTACAACCCGATGTTCATGTGGATATAGTTATATTCAACCTCATCTTTCAGAGGAGTAAAATAAGTCTCTAAAAAGAACTTATTCTTGGTCGATTAACTACATTTAACTACCATTCATAAAGTGGCAGCACCCTCAGATCCCCACCCCACCCTCATCTCTCAGCCCTACCCCTGTCGCACCCACCGATGTTTCAACCCAGGCACAAAAGCAGTATGAAATCACCTGGCCGACTGGCTGCGGTGCCCTTTACAACAGCAGCAAAACATACTACAGTAGGAAGCCACCTTTCTTCTTGTCAAAGCGTGTTTAGGGTTGTATAAATATTTACACATGTGAAGTGCCAAATAAATTTCAGCTATTTTCACGAACTCGTGGCACAAATCGATCGGATTTATGAGCCCGCTGCAGCAGCCAAAATAACCTCGTATCGGGGTGTTGAAATAGCTAGTCTGTCTGTGTAAACGTCATTCAGCGAACGCCGTCAACGTAAAACGACACCTTACCTTGTGAGAATTATTAAATCCAGCTCGCCTTGGTTTTAAGATCATTTTTTTCAGTTAGTATAAACTCGGTTGGCTGAGAGACAAACGATTATAATACTGGGGTATAAAGTCACATCACTACACGGAAAACAGTGAATACAATACCACCCCTCGTTACGGCCCTCTACCCCTATCCCCTCTCCACAAGGAACGCAATAGGTTGTTCAAACTATATCCCAACACCCACTACTTCACCTACCGTCGTGGCACCATTATGTACATACACCAACCTAACTCACTAATAAACCACATTTCTGAAATGTTCTGATAAATATTCGCAAATTGCAAGACAGGATCATCGTAAGTGCTTATTACATAGCGTTTTATTCAATATAAATACGTTCGTTTCTGCTGATTACTCCCAAATGAATCTTGTAGACATTGGCTTCAGCCACTCAACGTCGCCATTCATACTTGTCCAATCTGTGATAATTCAATATTTTTATTAAAAGTGACAGCCGAGTTTGTCTGCGATCAGAGTGATCGTCTCAAACCACTTTGCCCTGCGACTCCATCGATCGATAAATACTCCAATTTTCGTTTGCAGGAAAATACTTTTTTAAAGGAAAGTAAATCCTCGGCACACAGTTAGTGTTTTTATATGTCCATTTACATCTCTCTATAACGGGGAAAAGTCAAAGCGGTTATTTCTTTCAGAACATTTTCTGCCTCCTGCATGTGGGTCGCCCTACCAGGCCCAGACAACAACCCGTCGAATTCCCCCTCCCATTTATCACAGGGTGCCGCTCGCCTAGCTACAGCCACTGCTGGAGACAAAAGGACTGCGACAGATTGAGAGAACGTGACTTTCATAAGAAAATACCCACTGACATGAAATAAATTGAAGAACAGCAGCCGCGACGAATCTGTCGCAGTTCATTATGCGAGTATACGACGAAATATATCCCAGCGGAACATCTCCGAATATTATACTGTCAAACAAAGGCTCCTCCATGTTGACCGTACATGTAAGGTTTTCAGTTGCATAACGTACCATTACAATTTCAAAACGACCCAGACACAACCAGACAGAATATTATAAAACGCAATCCTTTGGATGAAAGTATTAAAACTTGTCTGTGTCAACAAACATGTGTCTCAGAACATAATCTTTTAAAAAGGCAGGCTTTCCGCTTTAAGCGATCCATACAACCAGGCGAGCTTTTCTCCACGTACCGTTAATATGCATGACGTTGTTATAATGTCTACTGAATTCAACGATTTGACAACTGCTTAAAACTATTATCTGACTTAATTCTAAGAGAATATAAGTCAAAATAACCCTTCCTTACCTTGTGGGTCCGCAACATCGGCCTTAGCGCTGGGCATGTTTAACGTAATCTCTCTCCAACCTCACAGGCTCACAGGCAGCTGATGTGTGGAGTTTGCCCGCTCGCTTGTATTTATCGACTGTATTAGTCTTCCGCGTTGTCACGTGATCTCCTGGCGTCTGACTGTAGCAATTTTCGCTACGAAAGAGGAAGCAATTCTCCTTTCTTCCTTCATCGTGAGGTGTCTAAGACGAATAGGACAATTGCATACGTATTTCCGTTTTCTGAGAATGATTGTTCATGAGATGCAAACCTGTTAATGCATATATGCACTGACAGTTTGCCAGTGCATGACCGCAAGCAGTACAATCAATTTAACTCGAATCTATATTTGTCCTGCATTAAAAATATGAATGATTTGAGTGAATGAAAAATGGTTTGCGCCGCTTGTAGAAATTATTAGCTTCAGCAACACCAAGTGGGACCACGATAGTAATCGGTGTCACACAATATACATGAAACCCATGTGGAGAATCGAACCTTTGTCTACAGATTGACGAGTGAACGTATTAGAACTGGGCTATTGGTCCAAAACACACCAACACGAAGATTAACATCCTTGTGCATCCAAACCCACCCCTCTAACAAGCACAGTGGCCCTGGGGACCAGATCCCCCACACAGAATCATGCACACACTGACACACACACACACGCGCGCGCACCCACGCACACACGCACGTACTTACAGAAACACATTACCTTGATGTAATGTTAACATAGTTCAATAAAAGATCAGAGTATGACATGTATATTAATATGAAATATATATTCCACACTTTGTCTCAAATATAACATCGTAAATATCGAAAACGTCAATTTCTCACAGAGTTGGGTGTTGTTTAACGTCGCGCTCAGCAATATCCCAGCTATATGGCGGCGGTCTGTAAATAATCGAGTCTGGACCAGACAATCCAGGGATCAACATCATGAACATCGATCTACGCAGTTGGGATACGATGACATGTGTCAACCAAGTCAGCGAGCCTGACTATGCTATTGAATGCTATTCTAGTTCACAGCTCAGAGATCTACGGCATATGCTGTAAGGCCACACAGTGTCAGGTCACTGTATTGAATGCTATACTAGTTCACAGCTCAGAGATCTATATGATATTTATATGCTGTAAGTCCACACAGTGTCAGGTCACTGTATTGAATGCTATTTTAGTTCACACCTCACAGATCGATATTCCTTCCTGGTGAAGAAAGATCGTAAAGTTTAATGTCGTTGCTATTGATTAAACACCTGTTGAGAGATGGATGGTATTCGAGAAGCTGCACAATGTTTGTAGCCAGTTACAAGTATGTGTAAATGTATACATCTGTTAGTGTTAGTCTGCACTCGTTATTCACACTGTTGCTGTGAGTATTTTCTGGGCATAGCCAATATCATATTACCCCGTTTACTTTTGCAAATACATTGCCCTGTCCTGGAAATGAAAATGAAAGCTGTATCTGCTGCAAAAGCAGATACTAACAGAATAACAAAGGTACATTGTACATTATTATGACGTAGAGTTGTACATTGTACAACAGCATTTCAACTGTTACACAGTGTACATTTGATATTCAGTGAAGGTAGTGTTATATCTTGTACAACAGTGTTTCAACTGTTACACAGTGTACATTTGATATTCAGTGAAGGTAGCGTTATATCTTGTACAACAGTGTTTCAACTGTTACACAGTGCACATCTGATATTCAGTGAAGGTAGTGTTTTATCTTGTACAACAGTGTTTCAACTGTTACACAGTGTACATTTGATATTCAGTGAAGGTAGTGTTTTATCTTGTACAACAGTGTTTCAACTGTTACACTGTGTACATCTGATATTCAGTGAAGGTAGTGTTATATCTTGTACAACAGTGTTTCAACTGTTACACAGTGCACATCTCAAATTCAGTGAAGGTAGTGTTATACCTTATGGTACATCAGTGTTTCAACTGTTACACAGTGTAGATCTGATATTCAGTTAAGGTAGTGTTATACCTTGTACATCAGTGTTTCAACAGTTACACAGTGTAGATCTGATATTCAGTGAAGGTAGTGTTATACATTGTACAACAGTGTTTCAACTGTTACACTGTGTACATCTGATATTCAGTGAAGGTAGTGTTTTATCTTGTACATCAGTGTTTCAACTGTTACACTGTGTACATCTGATATTCAGTGAAGGTAGTGTTATATCTTGTACAACAGTGTTTCAACTGTTACACAGTGCACATCTCAAATTCAGTGAAGGTAGTGTTATACCTTATGGTACATCAGTGTTTCAACTGTTACACAGTGTACATCATTCAGTGTTTTGTAATCAGTGTTTCAACTGTTACACAGTGTACATCTGATATTCAGTGAAGGTAGTGTAATACCTTGTACATCAGTGTTTCAACTGTTACACTGTGTACATTTGATATTCAGTGAAGGTAGTGTTATACCTTGTACATCAGTGTTTCAACAGTTACACAGTGTACATTTGATATTCAGTGAAGGTAGTGTTATACCTTGTACATCAGTGTTTCGACAGTTACACAGTGTACATTTGATATTCAGTGAAGGTAGTGTTATACCTTGTACATCAGTGTTTCGACAGTTACACAGTACATTTGATATTCAGTGAAGGTAGTACATACCTTGTATCAGTGTTTCAGTTAAGTGTACATTTGATATTCAGTGAAGGTAGTGTTATACCTTGTACATCAGTGTTTCGACAGTTACACAGTGTACATTTGATATTCAGTGAAGGTAGTGTTATACCTTGTACATCAGTGTTTCGACAGTTACACAGTGTACATTTGATATTCAGTGAAGGTAGTGTTATACCTTGTACATCAGTGTTTCAACAGTTACACAGTGTACATTTGATATTCAGTGAAGGTAGTGTTATACCTTGTACATCAGTGTTTCAACACATCAGTGAAGGTAGTGTTATAACAGTGTTTCACACACAGTGTACATTTGATATTCAGTGAAGGTAGTGTTATACCTTGTACATCAGTGTTTCAACAGTTACACAGTGTACATTTGATATTCAGTGAAGGTAGTGTTATACCTTGTACATCAGTGTTTCAACTGTTACACAGTGTACATTTGATATTCAGTGAAGGTAGTGTTATACCTTGTACATCAGTGTTTCAACTGTTACACAGTGAACATTTGATATTCAGTGAAGGTAGTGTTATACCTTGTACATCAGTGTTTCAACTGTTACACAGTGAACATTTGATATTCAGTGAAGGTAGTGTTATACCTTGTACATCAGTGTTTCAACTGTTACACAGTGAACATTTGATATTCAGTGAAGGTAGTGTTATACCTTGTACATCAGTGTTTCAACTGTTACACAGTGAACATTTGATATTCAGTGAAGGTAGCGTTATACCTTGTACATCAGTGTTTCAACTGTTACACAGTGAACATTTGATATTCAGTGAAGGTAGCGTTATACCTTGTACATCAGTGTTTCAACTGTTACACAGTGAACATTTGATATTCAGTGAAGGTAGTGTTATACCTTGTACATCAGTGTTTCAACTGTTACACAGTGAACATTTGATATTCAGTGAAGGTAGCGTTATACCTTGTACATCAGTGTTTCAACTGTTACACAGTGAACATTTGATATTCAGTGAAGGTAGTGTTATACCTTGTACATCAGTGTTTCAACTGTTACACAGTGATATTCACATTTGATATTCAGTGAAGGTAGTGTTATACCTTGTACATCAGTGTTTCAACTGTTACACAGTGTACATTTGATATTCAGTGAAGGTAGTGTTATACCTTGTACATCAGTGTTTCAACTGTTACACAGTGTACATGTGATATTCAGTGAAGGTGAGGTGTTATACCTTGTACATCAGTGTGTTTCAACTGTTGTTACATCAGTGAACATTTGATATTCAGTGAAGGTAGTGTTATACCTTGTACATCAGTGTTTCAACTGTTACACAGTGAACATTTGATATTCAGTGAAGGTAGCGTTATACCTTGTACATCAGTGTTTCAACTGTTACACAGTGAACATTTGATATTCAGTGAAGGTAGTGTTATACCTTATAGTGTTTCCTTTACACAGTGAACATTTGATATTCAGTGTTTCAAACAGTGTTTCAACTGTTACACAGTGAACATTTGATATTCAGTGAAGGTAGTGTTTCATACCTTGTACATCAGTGTTTCAACTGTTACACAGTGAACATTTGATATTCAGTGAAGGTAGTGTTATACCTTGTGTTTCATCAGTGTTTCAACTGTTACACAGTGAACATTTGATATTCAGTGAAGGTAGTGTTATACCTTGTACATCAGTGTTTCAACTGTTACACAGTGAACATTTGATATTCAGTGAAGGTAGTGTTATACCTTGTACATCAGTGTTTCAACTGTTACACAGTGTACATTTGATATTCAGTGAAGGTAGTGTTATACCTTGTACATCAGTGTTTCAACTGTTACACAGTGTACATGTGATATTCATATTCAGTGAACTGTTACACAGTGTACATGTGATATTCAGTGAAGGTAGTGTTATACCTTGTACATCAGTGTTTCAACTGTTACACTGTGTACATGTGATATTCAGTGAAGGTAGTGTTATACCTTGTACATCAGTGTTTCAACAGTTACACAGTGTACATTTGATATTCAGTGAAGGTAGTGTTATACCTTGTACATCAGTGTTTCAACTGTTACACAGTGTACATCTGATATTCAGTGAAGGTAGTGTTATACCTTGTACATCAGTGTTTCAACTGTTACACAGTGTACATCTGATATTCAATGAAGGGTGTGCTATATTTAGAGCTCGAGGGGCTTCCACCGTGTCCTGATCCACAGAATATTACAGGATGATTTGTGAAGGGCTACAAGGACCTTATTCCAGAATCACCTGCCCGAGATAAGTATATAAGGGGATCTAGCTATTGCCTCTCAATACAATACATCTCAAGCCACAATAATACCAGCATTTTGTTTGATCACGTTACACTCTGAGAGCTCCGTTACGAACTTAATCCCAGTTAATATTTTAGTTTCAACTTGGGAATCAATAGTTAAAAACATAATGCACTAGAGGCATCAAGTATACTTGAACTAACTGT